GCCGCCGAAGGGCTGGCTGGTGGCTTAGAACTGCTGCACCTAGATCATCAAGACGGCGCTCAATGCAGCACACCTGGAACCGCAGCGTGTCTTGGGGCATCCCAGTACAAAAATAAATTACATGAAAGCCTCAGGCTGGTTAAAGCAAGACCCCACAAGGTCCTGGACTTCAGGCACGGCTGGATGCAGGTGCCCCAATGATGCTCCCCAGCCTCTCCTCCTCTGGGGGGCCCTGGTGGGCCTGACTTGGTTTCCTGCCCATGCTGAGCTAAGCACTGGGCCGCAAGTCCATCCGGTCACTAAGGGGTGGGTCAAGCCTTGCAGAATGCGTGGACGGAGAGAGGGGCAGAGGGAGGGGTGTTCTCTCAGGACAATGGAGGGCTGTTGGCAGAGGGGGGGGGGGGCGGCTGCCAGAAGTACTTTCCCTCCAGATGGGTGAAGAAATGCCCTTTGTCCAGAAAGCCTGATTCATCACAGGCTCCTGCCCTCAGTTCTTCCAAAGAGCAGATAAGGGAGGCCCCAGGGAGGGAGGGGGAAGGGGGCTCTGTGTGTGTGTGTGTGTGTGTGTATTGTGGTCTCAAGATACTCCGGGAGTGACCTCTCCAGGCCCTGATGTCTTCGGAGGACGGACCTGTACATATTTGGGAGATGAAATTGTCAGTCGGCTACTGCCCTCCTGGCCCACTACTCCATGAACTCTCCCTGGAATCCAGTTTGGTGCCAGCATCCATGCTGGGAAGGGAACACTTGCTTTTACTCGAGAGGGGCCTCTGTGAGCTCGGCTGTTAGTTAGGGGAAAACTTGGGTGGCTATTTCTGGCAAAGACTGAGGTGGGTGAAAAATGTGGGGGTGGGGGTGGGGGTGTCAGGTCACTTAGGATGGAAACCTGACCCTCTCATCCAGGGCCCCGGGAAGAGGTGCTCAAGTTGTGGGTGAGGGTGGGGGCCCAGGCCCAGCAGCTCTACCCCCAGGTCTGGCAGGGTGAGGCCTGAGCAGCTGGGAGCTGGGCAGGAGGGGCAGGAATCTTCCTCCTCTTGGACACCTGTCCCCAGGCTGGCTGACCTTTGGCCCCATTGCAGGGGCACGCTCAGAGAGGAAGGCAGGAAGGTGTAGAAGGCTCCTCACCAGGTACGCCACTGAAAACTGTGACATGAGGAGTCCCTGCATGGCGCAAACGCTTAAGCAGCCAGCAACTTGGCCAAGGGCTGGTAGTTGGCATCGATCCCGCGTCGCCTGGGAGGAAAGGCCAGGCAATCTATTTCTGAAAGGTCACCACCATTGAGCCCCCATGCAGCAGTTTACTTGGAAACACCTGGGGACACCCTGGGTGGGAATCAACCCTACAGGTCAGCTGGTTTTGGTAACTCACTAGGGAGAGCTTTCCTGTGTCCAGGTGTCAGCTCCCTGAAACCTCAGGACGGCAGACGTGGCATGGCTCTTGGCTTCACTCTAGAGGGGAGATCGGACGCTCAGAAAGGTGCAGTGACCACTTGCCTAAGGATGCAGGTCCTTTGGCCAAGGTAATATGGGGCGGGCTGGGCTCATGGCGAGGAAAGGTCCAGACAGGAGTGCTGGGTTAACCAGGGGCAGGAGGCTCAGCTAGCCTGAGGCCTCGGATGGAAACCTGAAAAAGACAGACAAGCCCTAACCTGGACCCTGCGGGAACTGTGTGATATGTGTAGGGAAGGGCTTTCAGGAGCGGGAACAGCATGTGCAAAGGCGCAGAGGCGGGGCAGGGACCATTTGCAGCATGGCACACAGCCTTTGCCAGTGCCTTCTGGGTAAGGAGGCCATGAGGACAGAACCTCTGTGCCCCAAAGTCCCGGGAGGCCCGGAGTGGCCAGCGTTTGCCCAGATAGCCGGCGGTGCGTGTCCTCTGCCCTCCCCTCACCGTTTGGCGGGCTGGGAGTAAGACGGGGCAGCCTTGGGCCCCAGAGGCAGGAAGGGAAGCCCTACTCCTCTCGGGCCGAGGCTCCGCTGTGGCCTGGGAGGCCTCGACGGACAGGAAGCCGGCCGTTCCTCCTCTCGAGCCTGAGGAGAATGGGCTATGTGTAAGCAGCAACAAAAGGCTTTTCTGCCAAGTCTGAGAGGGCAGGACGCAGCTGGCCCGCCCCCTGCCCAGCCTGAAAGGAGGCTCTGTTGGTGGCCTGTGATGCTGGCTGGGGGGGATACAGCTCACATGGGGAGGGGTAGAAGGAAGTGGGGTCCAGGGCGCCCCATCCTCCTGGTGGGCCAGGGTTGGGCAGCTGTGCAAGTCTGACGACCCGGGATCTCATCTCAGCCTATCCGCTTCCTCGCTGTGTGACCTGGGCCCGATCGCTTCACCTCTCTGAACCCCACCTCCTTCGCTGATAGCGTGCAAACAGCTTCCCTGGTGTCACGATGGTTAAGCACTGATTGATTGGAAGGTTGCAGGTGAAATCCACTTGGCAGCATCACGGGACAAAGGCCGGGGCATCTACTTGCTCCCTTCCAGACTGCAGCCTAGAAGTCTCTATGGGGCCATTCTGCTCAACACAGGGCCACGGTGAGGCCCAGTCACCTCGACGGGCACCCAGCAACATCAAAGCTGCAGTGGCACAGTGGCTCAGCACTCAGCTGTTAACCAAGAGGTTGGTGGTTTGAATCCCCCAGCTGCTCCACCCAAGTCAGGGGCAGTCTTCTTTGGTAAAGATTACAGGCCTGGAAACCCTATGGGGTCCTTTAGGGCTCTCTGAAGGCTGAGGAGGGGCTAAAACAATGTAACCTGTTTTACTTTGTTACTGTGTAGCTGTTGTTGTTTTAAAAAATGTATTTCTGTGTATAAAATCCAGGAGAGGTAACCCTCCAGAGGCAGTCCTGTTTAAAAAACAACAACCCAAAACCTAGTTCAAGATGTTGATTCCTGTTTACCCTGTGGTAGAAGCCAGGAGACTGAGACTCAGGTAGGGTTGACCAATTCCATCTGGGGTCTGCTGGGCTCTTTGTGGGTGGGAGAGGCAGGCCAAGCTGCCCTGCCCACGCTCCTTGGGGGTCCCTTTCAGCAGAGCCAGTGATGTGTTCACAGCCTCTGAGTGAGACAGGCATCCTCAGAGACCCCCATGGTGGCTTTGGCCCCCAGGCTTCCTGAGATGAACATTTGGAGGGTGGGAGGCTCCTCTGTGGAAGAGCTCACGGAGAGAGAGGCTCTTCTCCTCTCCTCCTTCATCGTGGATGTTCCCCACTGTCCCTCACCTGCCTGGGGGGCTCTGGTCCAGCCCAGGGTTCAGGCAGGAGGCTGCCTGGGGGCAGGGGCTGGGGTTCTCCAACAGGACAACTGACAAGATAGCAGCACCTGGCACTTCATGCGGACCACAGGGGGTGCCGCCAGGTGCTGTGAGTGAGAGGCTATTGGTACATCCTACTCTCCTAGGCCAGTTGCCAACAGAGAGAGGAAGGGGTGGGACCAAGAGATTGGAAAGGATGAACAGCTGTGGGGGAGGGGGCGGGTCGGGAACAGCCTGAGAGAGACCCTCTCCATGGCTGGGGCTGGGTCAGGCCAGCATTCTGACTGTCCGCTGAATTCTGGGGGCACAGCCAGCACCGAACAGACGGCCAAGAGAGTGGATATGGATCCAAAGCTGACTGCCCAGCTCCATGGGGCACCTTGGTCTCCTGCCAAGGCCTGTGGCAGGGTTGTCTGCTGCTTCAAGTCTTGGGTGCCCCAGCACCCACTGAGCAGAGTGCATAGTGAAGGGGACTCTTGAAATCCAAGGTGGCACGGTGCCCACCTCCCTTTTATGCTCTGCTCTGGGATCCAGTCCAGGGCGGGTCTTCAGGCTGCCCAGAACACAGTCTGGGTTCTCTCCCACCCACCATCCCAGCACCCCTACTGTAAGGGTGCTCTTTCCATTGACAGCAAACCAACATTCCTCCCCCTAACCCTGGCTGGGGGGCCTGGGTTTTGTTTCTTCTCCCTCTGGTCAGCTGAGGGTGGCTACCCTCACCAATCTCCAAGGCTCTGCTCCTCAGGGGCCTGACTTCTGAAGGCCTCTGAGAAGGTACCTGCCACCCCAGAACAAGACACCCAGAGCCTTCAGCACAGGGGGCAGGCCTCTAGCACCAGTTTGGGCTCCACCCTCTGCACCCACAGCCCAGGTTCTCACAAAGAAGGACACACTTGCTGCCAACTGTCAATTTAATCAGTGCAGATTATTTACAGAAATACCCGCGGGATGGGCACGGAGTCCCCACCACCCCTGGGCTGGCTCTCCCATTCTGGAGCCAGCCCCTGAAGCAGCTGCCCCAAGGGGAAACACGGGGGCACCCCACCCCTAGGGGCCTCAGGCACACTGGCTGCATGCTGGGGTCTGAGCTTATACAGTACCGTTTCCCACAACAGCCTGGACCTCCGGCTAACTAAGGGAAAGGGGAGGATGGGCATCAGCCTTCAGGGCTCAGGGCTCTGGGCTGGGTCTCTTTGGCCATGCCCCCATCCCAAACTGTGGGGGGATGGACTGCAGACAGCCCCCCACTCCCCCTAGCTATTCCTTCCCAGTCCCCTGGGGAGGAATCTTTAGTGTTTGGTGGGCTGTGGGCCTTTGTAACATCCGTCTGTCCACCCTAAGGGGCTAGGGACACAAGCAGCTGGAGACGGATGCTGGTGGAGCCGGGACCCCTAAGCACGGGTGTGGGTGGGAGTCTCAGGAAGGGGTCCAGGTGAGGCATAGCTCAGAAAAGTCCATGAGGAGCCTGAAGTCCAGCCTGGTGGGACCAGGTGCCACCTCTTGAGGGAGGGGCCTTAGCAGACCCCCTTTGGTCCTTGGTAGGGCAAGCCCAGGGCCCCTTCTCCAGAGAGGAACAGAGGTGTGGCCCAAGGGGTCCTTGGGAGCCGCTGGCCCCTCAGCGGGCGGGGTGGGGTGGGGTGGTTTCATAGGCACAAGGCCCCTGGGTTGTGGGGCTGTTGAGGTGGGCTGGAGGGCTCAGCGACCACTACCCATCAGTCCCCTCACACTCGCACCCCCCACCCCCCCCCCCCCTGAGAAAAGCTCGTTCTAAGGCAGGAGGAAAGGCAGTCTGCAGAACAACTGGGCCAGCCCTGGCCTCCCTGGCTTTCCCGGGATCCCCACTGGGGCTTTCAGTCCCTCCAAACTCGGGTTGGGGGCTCCCACCTTTGAGGCCACATTTCCTATCCAACTCCAAATGTTCTGCCCTGAAGGCAACACCCCTGTTCAGTAAAGTATGCTCAATTAATGTGCAAAAAAAGAAAAGTAGTGTCAGGGTTGGCGAGGGGCTGTGTAACCATCCAGAGGCCCCACCCAGGGGCGGAGGAGACATTGAGGCTCTTGCTGGGTGGCTCGATAGAGCCACCTCAACTGCAGGCTCTGCCCTACCGGGACGCTAGCACCAGGGGAGTATTCGCGCGGGCACTCAGACCCACTCCTGCAGGGAGCGCTTGCAGTAGAGGAGCATGCGTGGAGCGCCCTTGCGCTGCAGGTGCACCAGCGCGAAGGCCAGGCCCAGGATGCCGAGCAGTAGCAGCAGCGGCACCAGCACCATCACCAAGTTCACCGTCCGCGCCACGTTATCCATCTGCACCACCACGCGGCTGCCCTCGTCCTTGTCGGGCCCCGCCTCGCCGCCATCTGGGCCGGGTCCTGCTTCTCCGCCGTCACCACCCACCCCAGGCTCTGCACCCTCATTGGGGTTGAAGGGCGGGCGGGCCACGTCCGGCCATCGGGATCCCGGCTCCACCACGGGCTCCTGACAGCCCATGAAGTCCCGCAGGATGGACTTGGGGTACCCGGGATCCATTCGCAGGCGCTCGTTGTCGAACTTCCAGTATTTGGTGCCTTTGTAGAAGTAGGTGTGGGCTGCAGAGGTGGGTGGGGGAAGGGGCGGGGTCAGACAGAGGCACTCCGAGCGCCCCAGAATGTGCCAGAGGGCTGCGGTGAACACACGCTCACCTGCATCGGAGCATCTAGAAACCCTGCCCCCCACCCTCATTCAGAAGCATCAGGCTGAGCCTCAGAGAGGCAAGGCTCGGATCACGGCCACAACTTGAATCCCAGGCTTCTTGGCCCAGAGAGACAGGGTAACCCAGACCCAAGCCAGCATTTCCATCCTGGGCGTGGCTTTACCAACACGAGAGAGGCCAGTGCCTTGGTCAGAGCCACACAAACATCTCACAGTGCACCTGGAGTGGTGTCTCGCCCTGCCTTGGCCTGTGACCGTGTTCCGGCACTGGGAGGGCCCGTGGGAATCCAGGAGTGGGGTGGTCTGTGCTGGGTATGTGGGTTTGGAGCAGCTGAAGGGTGGGTGGGACCCCTTAACAGAGCCCATGAGACAAAGCAGATTCCTGGGAACAAGCAGGGGACCCCAAGTCTGGCAAAATGCAGTGGGGTCACAGCTGCTTGCTGCTCTCTGGGCCACTCTGGAAGCCTCCTCTGCCCCTCTCGGAGCCAGGTTGGCCCACAGGGCTCTCTAATCTGCCCCTAGGGTTGCTGCCCTGGATTGGACTCTGAGCTTCATGCCTTCCTAGTAGCTGTGTGGGTCAAGGGCAAGTTCCTGACGCTGCTTGACTCAGTTTGTCCATTGGCAAAGGGGTCGAGAGGTCAGGCTTGAGACCTGCCCAGCTCAGAGCCTGTCACGCATGTGCCCATCCTTGAAGCCCATGCAATGAAGATGACCTTGAACAAGCCTTGCCTGTCCTCTTGCGAGTGGGTATGTGGGGGTTCAGTACCTGCGTCGTTGCTCAGGAAGGCCCCCTTGGGGTTCACAGGGACCCCTTGCCAGACACTGATGGGCTTGGGGTAGCCAGGGTCTACGTGCTGCGTCTCCTCGTTGAAGCGCCAGTACCTGCAGCAAAAGCATGCAGCTGTGGACCTAGGAACCGAGCCCTGGTGGCGCAGTGGTTGTGCGCTGGGCTGAAAACTGCACGGTCAGCAGGTGGAAACCACCAGCCACTCTGAAGAAGAAATAGGTTTTCTACTCTCGTAGAGTTCCCGTCTCGGAAACCTGCAAACCTAGTGCTACAGGGTCGCTACGAGTAAGCATCGGCTTGATGTGGCAGTGAGTTTGTTTCTTTGTTGTAGACCTAGGAACCCGCCTTGGACCAGTACCCACTCTCCATGGGGGGTCAGGTTCTTTCTGGGGCCCGCTGAGGGCTTGGTTCCTCTATGGGGTGGGGGTGGGGGGAGCATACTGCTCACCTGTCCTCTTGGAAAAAGAAGGTGTGGCCTGTGGGCTCCCACCAGATGGCCGTGTCGATACGGTCGTAGGGGATGCCCACACCGTAGCTGGTTAGTGGCTGTGGGTAGCCGGGCTCCAGGTTCGCTTCTCGGAAGAGCCAGTAGCGGTCCCCTGTGGAGAGGGGCCAGAGGCGGTGTAAGGATGGGTCAGGGACTCAAGGGTCTGGGTGAGGAGGGGACACAGGGAATGTTTGGTGGCCCACAGAGCCATTCGCGTCCACTGCCCTCCTGACCACACACTCGCGGCCCGGTGCAAGTGACATCCACACACTCAAGGTGACTTTCGGATCAAATCGTGCCTCATACACACAGGCATCAGACTCCTGCGACACGCTCACTCACAGGCACGCCAGACACCTGTTCACACCTGCTCTCAGCCCTCCGCAGAGAGGCCAGAGAGCCCTGGCTGAGCCCCAGGGACTTTCAGTGTGGGCCCAGCCCTGTCTTCGGGGAGTGCCTGCCTTGACCAGGTGCAGGTCATCAAGGCTGGGGACACAGCGGCAAGGTCCCAGGGACTTCCGTGGTGGACTTCTCCAGGGAGACACCTGGAGGGGCGGCGGCTGGTAGGGGGTGCTGAGGTCTCTGTCCCAGGGCAGGCTCAGAATACCCACCTTGCTGAGCAAGGGGCTGTAGGAGGCAGCCAGGATGAGGCAAAACAGGAGGTCATGTGACAAAGAAGGAGGGAAAGGAGACAGAGCCCAGGGCAGGGATAGGCACTTGCTCCATCAGAGCAGCTTTTGGCTCCAGGGTGCTAGGTGGTCGCCCACACTGTCTTCTGCCCAGTCCCGCTCACTACCCAGTGTGAGCCCACCACATGAGGGCAGGAGCCAGCAGGCTGGGCCACAGGCCAGGCCAGGAATGCTGCCCCAGCTCACCTTTGAAGAAGACAAAACGCCCGTCGTGGCGCTCATAGGCAGCGCTGATGTCCCCGGGCAGGCCGCGCCAGAAGTGGCCGATGGGCATGGGGTAGTTGTCTAGGACGCGGTTGTGCCGGACCCGCCAGAACCAGAGGCCCTGCAGGGCGGCTTTGTGTAAGTGAGAGCCCCGGCCTCTCCCCCTGCCCGGGTCAGGGTGGGCCCAGGGGAGGCCAGTGAGGTGCCAAGGGCAGGGGGGCTTGCTGTGAGACCTGGGGCCAGCCCCTCATGCTCTCAGGTGAGGTAAGGCATTTGGAGGATAGTGGGTGGTCTCCTGCCTGATCCCTGGGCAAAGTGGACAGGGGAGGCAGGGGCAGGGCCAGGGCCAGACCTTGAACACAAACATCTCCCCACGCAGCATGGCCACGGTGTCAAAGTCCCCATCGCAGATGTCGGGGCCGTACTGGTGGGGCCGCTCAGTGGCTCGGGGATGGGCTGGGGGAGCCGGCTGTGGGGGTCGTGGAGGCCGGTGGTCTGGCTGACCTGGCCGCTGCGGTGTCGGGAGGGGTCGGGTGGGCTGTGGCCGACCATCTGGAGTGCCTGCAGGTAAAAACAGGAGATGAGGGGGCAGCCCTAGAATCCAACCAGGTCCCGCCTAGAACCTTGGGCCCAAGGGACCACCAGCCTGGAGAGCCTGAACTGTCCTAGGTGGGAGGCCCTGTCAGTCCACACAGACAGCCTCCCCTACCATCTTCCTCATACAGTTCCTCCCACGGCCCCACCCTGGGCCTGGACATGAACCTCTGCACCCAATGCTGTCTCTACCTCCCCTCGGGGACCTGCCTCTCAGGGGACTCCAGGAAGCAGAGTGCTCAAAGGGCACAGAATGTGGCACTCTGCCATGTGCCCTCTCCACCCCCCTGTGAGGAGGTGTCAGCAAGGGCCCGGGCTGCCTCTTCCCTAGAGGTATTCTTGGGTGGGGCCGTGATGGGCACACCTGCCTTGGAGCCATTTGGAAAGGAGGAAGCATCAGCACTTGGCTGTGACAGGGGCAGGCCTGTGGGGCACTGAGAAGGCAGGGTCCAAGGGACCCTGGGTCATGCTTGGTCAGGGAGACCAAGGGCCCACCCTGGAGCCATGGGGAGGGCCAGGCCCTGGGGCCAGCCTGGGCTTGATTTCCAGCCTCACTACCTACCCACTGTGTGATGTGGGCCAGCCTGGGCCTGGGTCTCATCCACAGGGCGGGATTGGGGGCTGGCTGGGAGCAGCGTGCCGGGCCCACCACTCACCGTAGAGCTGCTGGATACCCTGGAGGTCGTCCTCGGGCAGCCGGAAGTTGTCCGTGTCCATCCACTGGTAGAAAGGCGCCATGATGGCCAGGGGGTCGTTGGAGTGTTCCAGCCCCAGTGCATGGCCCAGCTCATGCACCGCCACCAGGAAGAGGTTGTTTTCTATGGTGGCCACAAGTGGCGGGGTCAGTGGCGGCCCGTCCAGGGACCCAGTCCCCCCAGAGAGCCTTGCGTGCGCCTCGGAAGTGACTGAGTTCCCCTGACCTTGGCCACAAGGCACCCCCCAGGTGAGAAACTAATATGATAACCCCTTCCCTTTCCTACTACTCCTTGAACACGGTGCCAGAAGGGCCCGGGACAAGCTCCCTGCTCCAGAGACAGGGGCCAGCTGAGCTCTCCCCTCCCCACCCCGCAGCCTCCCAGCTGCGCCCTCCCTGCCCCAGGGCTGCCCCCGGCCCAAGCCACCCCCTGGACAGTTGTCCTCACTGTGCACATCAGTGTTGGAGATGGTCCAGGGCTCATCCGCATCAAAATGGGTGTCACCGCCCATGCCAGGGCCAGGGAAGTAGGCGTGGGCCAGAAAGCCACCCATGCCGTCAAAGGGCGAGCTGTCGCCGTGGAAGCCGGAGGCGAAGAGTATCATGATGTCGGCCTCCTTCTGCCGCCGCAGCCGGATGTCCTCATAGGGCACCTCCTGGAAGACCAGCGGCGTGACCTGCTCCCACACACGGAAGGCCCTGCGCACGGCCTCCATGGAGTGGTGCCAGCCCACCTTCTCGGTGTAGTTCTGGATGCTGCGGGCGGATGGGGAGGCGAGTGAGGGTGCCAGGCTCGGCTCCCTGAGTTTGACACCACTGGCTTCATCCGGGGCTCCCATCTCCCTCCCTGCCCTTCTACAGAGGTCAGAGAGACAAGCCCCAACTCAAGGTCACACGGACAATGTGAGAACAAGACTTAAGCTCAGCCTGTCAGACTTCAGGGCCCCACACTCAGGACTTCTTGGTCTGAGTTTTCCAAACCTGAGCCCTACACATTTCATTTTCTAGCCTTTTTCTTACTGTTTTTTTTTTTAACTGAACGTCTAACACTAACATAAATGAAAAGAAACATATTTGCCACCTATCACTCCTACCCGACCCCGCAAAAACAAAACAAAACAAAGAAAACACTGCCCTCGAATCAATTCTGACCCATAGAGATCCTATATATATGGTTTCTGAGACTGCCTCATCTTTGTCCCTTGAAGCAGCTGGTGGATTTGAACTGCCGACTGTATGGTTAGCGGTCCACCACCTACCCCCCAGTGTCATCATTTGCTACAGTACAACCTTATTCAGTGACATCATCCAGAACTGGGTTGCTATGCCAGTTCCGTCAATATCACATCCAAGTCACTAAGGGTGGATATTGATGGGTGTTGCCCATGTAACCAGGCCACCTGGGCAGCTCCAACTGCTAACCAGGTCGGCAGTTCAGGGCTCTCAGAAGAAGGGCAGGCTGATCTCATTTTCAAAGCCATTGGAAACTCTCTGTGTTCAGCTCTGGTCTGGCCCCGCACCGCCTCGTCCCTCATGTCCCTCCTCGGGAACGAGTGCTCCTCCTCGTGGTGCTGTGGCACTCCATGGCTCACACACACTGTGGGCAGTTTGAGCTCGGGCACAGAAGGGTCTAGCAATCTGCCGCCCAAGTTCACAGCCCGGAAGCGGTGGCATGGAGCAGTTTTCCGCTCTGCACGCTGGTGGCTGCCTCTGGTCACAGCACAAAGGCAGCCGTACCAGCTATACCGTGCAGCTGCTCTGAGAAGCCTTTGAGCCCCTGTCACCTCACGGGCACGAGAATACCGGCAGGAAGCACTCCCCGTCCTGCGTCACCTGACCATGGAGTCCATGTGGCAGCCATGTCGTCAATCCGTCTTGTTGAGGATCGGCCTTTTGCCGATCCTCTATGTTACTAAATGAACCCTGGTGACACAGTGGCTATGCGCTGGGTTGCTAACCACATGGTCAGCGGTTTGGACCCAGCAGCCATTCTATGGGAGAAAGACGAGGCTTTCTGCTCCTGTGAAGATTGACCCCTGCCCGAGGGGTCCCTGCAAGTCAGAATAGACTGGATGGCAGTGAGCTTTCGAGACTTGACGAAGCGCGATGACCTTCTTGAGGGACGGGCCCTTCCTGATAGCATGTCTAAAGTATGCGAGACGAAATCTCACCAGCCTGGCTTGTAAGGAATGCTCAGGCTGTACTTCTCAGGCAGGTTTGCATTCACACACACCTGTCCTTCCCAGTCTGCCTGATTCCTCGTTCAGTTTTCATGTGCACATGAGGTGACTGAAGTGGCCCAGGCAGTGGGCTCCCTGGTTGTAAAATTGACACCTTTGTTCTTACATCTTTGGATTCCTTGGCAGCCGCTTCCATGAGCGTTGACTGTGGATCCAAAATGAAATCGTGGATGTCAATCTCTCCTCCGTTTATCATGCTGAATTGGCCCAGCTGTGCCAATTTCTGAGAAGTATAATCCAGAGAGAGCTGGTATCTTTGAACTTCATCAAAGGTCCTCTTTGCTTTCAGCAAGCGAGTCTGTGTCCTCTGCACATTGCGGGTTATAAAAGAGCCTTCCTCCACGTCTGGTGCCACGCTCCTCCTCTGGTCTGACTTCTCAGAGCATTTGCTCGGCACACAGATAGATGGACTAAGTGTGGGGAGAGGACCCTATGCCTTACAAAAAAGACCCCAAACCCCAAAGCCTTACCTCAAGGTTAGACAGTACAGAACTTTATCCTGCCTGGAGTAGGGGACACTGACAGGCAGCTGCCAGACCCCTGACCTCATAAGGGAGAGACTGGGAGGGTGTGGGTCCCATGCGGGACTGCTGCTGGGAAAGGAAGGCCCTTCAGACACCACAGCTGGGAGCTGGGGCCTCAGCCCCAAAGGGGAGGGGGCGAAGACTCTGGGATTGCCCCTCCTTGGGCAGCTGGCCTCTTACCTGAAAGTCAGGTGATAGGTGTTCCACTTCCTCCCGGTGAGGGCATAGCGCTTCCGCCGCCGCCTCAGGTTGGCTTTTACACGCACCCCAAACTGGTCAGGCACCCCACAGCGGGGCCGTTTCATCCACCTGGTGCACAGGCACAAGGTGTGAGCTGAGCGCCTCCACCCGCCATCCCTGCCCCCAGGCAGGTTCAGCCTCCCCCAGGCAGTCTACCTTCTACTCCCCACGTCACCCTGCCTCAGGCCTCAGAGCTGCCCCTCCTTTGGGGGGGTGTGTGGGGAAACTCTAAACTTGTGCTTCCTCATCTGTAAAATGGGTGCGTGGCAGAGGAGCAGCAGCAGTGCCCAGCATTGGCCGAGTAAAAGGGAGGCCCTCCTGCCCAGCATGGGGGATGATGCCCAAGGCTGCATACATCATGCTTTGTGCACTCTTTATTGAGGACAGGAGGGGTCCCTTCACCTGTTTAGATTTGGGACACATGAGCCACCCCACCCCACTGTCACACCATGACAGACACCACTAGGTGAGCCCTGCACTCTTTCTGGCCTCAGCTGGAGGCGGCCTAGGAGCTTTCCCCTCAGGCTGCAGGGAGCCACTGCCAACCCGTGAGCCCTGCACAGAGGCCCCACTGTGATCTAGGCCATGCCCATCTCGGGATTTCCTTCCACACACCAAGCTCAGGGCAGGTGGCTGCAGGGCCTGGCAGGGGCCCAGGGGCAGGACTCACATCTTGGTCTCTTCATCCAGCACCCCGGTGACCGGGATCCCGTAGAAGCGCTGCATCTCAGCAAGGGCGGAGGCCAGGATCTGGGCGGAGCGCATGGTGGACATGTGGTGGTTGGGCTGCGGCAGGTAACCATAGAGCCGCAGCCAGTTCTGCAACGGGAGAAGCCACACACAGCTCAGCATCCTTGGCAAGGCCTGCCCCACCGTCACCCTGACGTAGCCCCAAAGGTTGGGGGAGCCTCTTGACTCTCCCTGCCGCCAGGGCCCTGCCAGGCAGTTCTTGCAGTAAGGGCCACGTCAAAGGACCTTCCAAGTCAGAGCTGCTCAGTCTGCCCCTACAAGCCGATTCTAACAGGCGTGACAGGGTCCCCATCAGCCGCCCCCATCCCACCAGGCATACCCTTGCCTCTGGCGGGGGGCCTTTGCATTCATCAGTTCGGCCCATTGTCTTCAGGTCTCTGTTTCCACCTTATCTGAGAGGCCTTCCTTGACCCTGTTCACCGGTCTAGCCCTCCCTCCTCATTCCCTTAGCTTATCTATCACTTGTCACAGCTGAGTGGTGCAAACCTTAAGTGCAGCTGACCTGAAGGCTGGCCGTTTCAAATTCACCCGTGTGCTGCAGACAAAGGGCGGGCACTCAGCTATGATTATGGCAGCCCTGGACTATTGTGGTCAAGAAACCCCCCTGAAGCTGTTCTACTCCGGGCCACCAGGAGCTGGAGTCAACAGCACAGGGTTTTGCTGCTGCCTCTGTTCTGGGAGAGGATTTCTTACCCTGTCCAGGACTCATGTCCCTGGCACCCTCTCGGGCTGAGCGGGGCTGCCTGAATCAGTCTGAACTCACCATCCACCAGCCCGCTTGTCCATCCACAGTCGTTCATCCACCACGTACCCTCCATTCCACCCATCCATCTATCCACACAGTCATCACTCACCCACCTGTCCATCCACCAGCCCGCTTGTTCATCCACCTGCTCACCTACTTTACCCCCCTTCCATCTACCAACTCATCTGCCCACCCCACCCCAATCTGTCCATTCACCCACCCACCATTCCATCTATCCACCAACCCACCTACCCATCTACCCACAAACCCATCCAAACACGAAGTCCTCTATTAACCCCACCCATCCAAACACCCGCCAACCCTGTGGGCCCATCCACCCAGCCTAGCAAAGCTTTCTGAGCACTCACTGTCCGGCACCATGCCAGCTGCTACTGTTGAGGTACCTGGACCTCCAATCTCCCTGTGTATTCACATTGGGAGACTGTTGGGGTCCCTGTGGAGGGGGGATTCCCCTCAGGGCCCTAATGAATCAGGTAGGACTGTGGTGAGAAGGGCGCTCTGCTGTCCCGAGAAGCTGATCAGCAGACACCGGGAGCTGCTATGGGACTTGGCCACATGCAAGAGGAGCCTTCTGCCCTTTCTTTGCATACCCTGGGTCCCTGGGGGCTCGAACGTAGGGGCCCAGGACTGCAAGGGCTGCACAGCCACAGCCTACAAGCCAGGATGCTAGGGCATCTCGGTGGCTGCTCCGATTGGCCGGCCGCGACCTCATATCTGTCTGCCACTAACGGCGCATCCAATGCCCCAGTACCTGCTTTGTCAGTGCCATCCGAGAGGCAGCCTGGCATCTGGCCTGGTCCCTGGCTGCCAATCCCAGCAGGGCAGGGCAGATAAGCTGCCAGCTTGGAGCCCGGTGTCCAGCCACAACTGTCAACCCCCACAGAGCCACGAGGCCTGCACGTCACTGACTGAGACATCCACCGCTCCGACACAGTCAGGGCTGACTGGGGACAAGGCTCAGACCAGCCATTCCCGAGGTGTGACTGTGTGCCCGCCCAGCACCCGGTGCCTCAGTCTGTCCTCGGGACAGTGGGGACTGTGTTCTGCCATGCCCCGCCCCTACCCCGGCATCTCAGGGTGACATGGGGGAACAGCACAGGGACGCCCACCCCTGTGGTCATCGGGCCTACTGCAGCTCACGGCCACCGAGCATGCTCCGTGGCATTGCCTGGGCTGTAGCCTTTACAGAGCAAGCCACCAGGCTTTTCTTCCACAGCACTGCGGAGAGAGGGCCAATGACTGACCTTTAGATTAGGTGTCGCGTACAGGCCATTTGCACAAGCTTTGGGCAGGGCAGGTGCTCAATCGAGGCATTATTAATGGCATGAGGTTAGAGAGGCAGGCGGACAGAGATGAGGCTGTCTCAGGACAGCAGCAGGGATGGGCCTGGGCTCCTGGCCTTCTCACCCACCTTCCTAACCTCTCTGGCCCAGGGCCTCCTTCCCGCAGCTCCTCCGGGCACTGGGAACATGCCTAGGAAGGGAAACCGCCTCCCTCCCCCTGAGATATGGGGACTGGGGGGACTGTCACCCTTAATGGAAATGGTATTCCTACAGATGCCATGTGGCCAGCACGGGGAGAAGTGAGGGGCGCTGGCTGCTGACAGAAGAGGGCACCTCTACACCCCCTATTTGCATAAGGTAAAAATATCCTGGGAGCGCAGTCACAGGCCACCGAGGGGCTGATCAGCTGTGTCTGCAGAGCTCCTGGGAGGGGGAGGAGAGGAGGCAGCTCAGGCAGGGGCCCTGAGGAGGGCAGCTAGGCTGTCTGCAGTGGATAGCTCTTGAGCTGGGCAGACGGGGTTAGGTCAGCAGTTCAGGGCCTGTGGACCCTCCTTCATGTGTCCCGTCCCCCCCCCCCCCCCCAGGTTCAGGATTCAGAGATCTTCCTTGTCAGCCTCAGCCAAGCTTTGAACCCTCCTCTGCCTCCTGTGACTAAGCTTCACAGCCAGTCAGTGGGGGAGCAGAGCCAGAGGCTGTGCCAGGTGGACGGGGTGGGGGTGGCGGTGGGAAGCACAAACGGCCTTGGCACCCACCGGCCAGCCAGGCCTTCATGTGACAGAGCGACGAGGCTGCTGGAGGCGGCTTGACTGGCCAGCGCCGTTCAGGGTGGCTGAGCGCCAAGCAGCAGGCAATCTGCTCTGGTGGTGGCAGCCCTCACTGCCCCCGCAGCCCCTGCCCAGGCCTGAGAAGGGCCTTTCCATTCCCCAGTGTCCAGGAAGGCGTGTCCTTGACCCTACCACAGTGCGGCGCAGGCCCGGTGCTGGGTGGGGTGCACAGGTGCATGAGGCAGGTGCAGGGAGGAAGCCAGGCCCACGAGGGGTGCAGCTCCCAGTCCCAGGGGGAGGGTCTGTGTTCCAGTCCCTGCTGTTTCTATGGAAGGGCTGTCCCTGACACAGGTGGGATGAGCCACGCTGGTGGAACTGCATCTCTGGTGGGGAAACTGAGGCTCTGAGGTCAGTGAGGGGCAGGGATGGGGAGGATTTGAACCAGCACTTGGTTTGCTCCTCGAGTGGGGACGAAGGTCCGGAAGAAAAGGGGGTCAGAGGAGGCTCCTCCCACCTGCAGCCCAGGGTGGGGAGTGGCTACCAGAGACCCTGCCCCTCCCGGCCCCCTGGGTCTTGGCTCTTCTAGCGTTTCAGATGCAACCCCTTGGGAGTATTTCTCCAGGATGGTTCTGGCGAATGGCCCCAGGCATGGAGACAGGGACGCAGGTCCATTACATAAGTAGATGTGATCTTTAGTCTCATAGATGGAGAAACTGAGCCTCATCTGGTCTCTGGGGGATTCCGGTCGTCCCCTTCCCCCAAGAGGCTGAAGAACTGCTCTACAGCGTTTGCTTCTAAGGCTGAAATCTTAAGGACGCGGAATGCCACATCTTTCTCTCTCGAAGGGTTGGGAGGTTCAAACCGGAAACCTTTCTGCTAGCAGCTACGTGCTGGGCCACTGTGACGCTCAAGACCACCGAATGCCCTCCCACTCCTTGCGAGCCCACGGGAAAGAGGAGAGCTGCCCCGCCAGGGTCTCTGAGACGGTCCAGGGTCTCACAGGCCCGCCTGCCAGTGAGTTTGAACCACTGGCCTTGTGGTACCAGCAGAGTGCTTTAACCAGTGCTCCACCACCTGGGGTCCTTCCATGCTCACCATCATGCCTACAATGGCAACGCATTCCCATCCTCGTTTTATAGGGAGCAAAGTTCAGAAGGCGGTGGCCCCCCGTGGCTACCCAACTGGTTTGGGCGAGCCCAGGGCAGAGGGTTGGCAGCGCTGAGGGGGGTCGAGGCTTTTTCTGCCCGGGGCTGGGTCTCCAGATGCTGCCCACACCCAGCATGTTCAGCTGGGTCTCCCAGGACCGCGGGCTGAGTCAGTGCCGCCAAGGCTGGCCCAGAGGGAGCCGGCTCCTGAGGAGGAACCGCCGCCAGATCGATGGGGTGTATTCAGCGGCTGTGCCTGCAGTCAGAAGAGGCCAGCCCCCGCCAGGGCCACCACAGCCAGCTGCTCCGGGCTCAGCTAGGTTGACACGCCAACCCCCCATCCCCGCCCTATCAGACTCTGCTCTGTGATAAGGACACGCTGCTTTGCTTGTGCCTGCCCAGCTCCCCCCATGGCCCCGGGCAGGGCCGCCAGCCAGACACAAAAGGAGCCCTGTCAAGATGGCCAGCAAGGGGCCAAACCCAGACCTTCCCTGGCTGCTGTGCGCTCGGTCCTCCCTATGCCCGCATGCCACGACTGAGGGCTTATGGGAGCAGGCCACGGCCTCCAGGGCTCTGCACTGCCCGCCCAGCTGTACAGGGAGCCAGTCCCGCTGGCCACCCCATGCAGGGCATCAGAGCCCACCTACCAGCCTGGAGTCCCTGAGCAAGTGGCAGAGTCCTCCGCCTAGAGCTGGAAGGGCCTCCGTAGGTCAGGTCAGCTACCTCAGTGAGGCCTCCGTGTGCCACGGCCAGGCAAGGACCTGGGCAGCTGCACTATGCTCCCTTCAGAGACCAGAGATGGGTGCTCTGGGCCTTCCACGCTCGTCCCCAGAGACAGCTGGCCCTGGTCCTAACCGCATGTCCACATACAGTCATGCAGTCAAAGATGGGGTCAAGCACTGACCAAAATGATCACTGGCCGCCTCCAGTGAAGTCGGGGCAGTTGAGCCAGGCAAGGGTGAGTCACTGCTGGGGACCTGCTCCTTGGGTATTAAGTCTGTGCCTGTGTCCCATTCCTAGGGAGGAGGCCCCACCCTCCAGCCACCAGCTTTATTTACAGAGCTGCAGGTGGGGGAAGGGACTTCTGGGAGGTGGGGACGGCTGGTAGGCGTGGGGGACAGGCACCTAGCCCAGGAAGCAGGAAGGAGGAGGAAGGCCAGTTTCGGCCTTCAGTCTCCTCTCTACCTGACCCTCAGGTCCCGCCCCTGCAATCCTCAACCTGGAAAATCCTCTGGTCAGTGGATGGGCAGGGCGGGGCAAGAGAGCCCTTCATTTGCCAGCCTTGGGGCCTCACCTGGAAACCCAGTACAGGTGTTACTGCCTAGGTGGGTGTGCCCACAGAGAAGAACCTGGGTGGCTGGATGGGCATGTGGGGGCGGAGGGTTTGGGGAAGCCTCTGGGACTGGACTAAGGGCAATTCTAGCTCCACCTCTGACACCGCCTCTCTACCTGGCCCATGCCCAGCAGGCTCCTGCCAGGGGAACTTCCACAGAGCTGCAGCCTCTGGCCCAGCATGGGGGCTGGGCTCCCGAGTTCCAAGGCAGGCAAATCTGGGTTCAAACCTAGCTCTGTTGTTCTGGGCCGATTTCTCTCCCCTGTAGGTCTGTTTCCTCTTCTGTAAAATGGGGTAACAACAGCACCTCCTTGACGGGGCTGGTGACCAGGGATAACTGCAAGAAGGCTAGGGCAGGCCTGAGTGCCAGGGCATTTAATCTGTGCTCCCCACAGCTGAAGTCCCTGGTGACCAGTGAGACCAAAAACCAAATTCACATCGATTATGTCCATGCCAACTCACAGCCTCCCTCTAGGACAGGGCAGACCTGGCCCTGTGGGTTTCTGAGACTGTCACTCTAGACAGGAGGAGAAAGGCCCGTCTTTCTCTCCAGGAGCAGCTGGTGGTTTCCAACTGCTGACCTTGTGGATGGCAGCCGAACGCACAACCACTGTGTCACCAGGGTTCTTCATCTCAGCAGTCGGCCACTGCCTTTTCACCATACACCAGGAAACAGAAGCGACAGGCAGGGTAAACTGCGGTGCAGTCAGTGACTTGCCCAAGAGCATTTGCCAAGTGCTTCCTAAGCACCATGAGGGGGAGCACTGCACATGCGGCTGGAGTTTGACCCCGGGAGGGTCAGCACAGCTGGTTCAGAAACCAGCTGGCCCAGTAAGATATGGGGCATCCCCAAGAGTGGCTGGGCAGGTCCCCAGGCCTTGGCCTGTCTATCTTATTGGTGAGCTGGGGTCTTCCTGTTCATTTCCCGCCACCCCCAGTTGCAGACTAAGATCCAGGCCGAGTTGCTACTTTCAGATGCTCTGCCCTGGAGCTGCAGAATCTGTGCTACGCTCTTAGAGGGGCTGGTTCCCCTGTGACCTGGTCTCTAGGCATTCCTGGGGTCGTGGCCAGAAAGAGAAGGATGGACACTGGAAGAGGGTAGGCAGGTGCTCCAGGTGGTAACTCAGGCAGGATCCGGGGCTCTGCAGGAGAGATTAGGCCTGCCTTCCTCCATTTGGGAGGGGTGGGAGTGGGGCTGGGGGCTCTAAATTGGGAGATGGAGACTTCACACCTGAAGACCTATCTTGGATGCTGGGCCCTTCCTCTCCCTGAGCTCGGAATGGGGTACCTGACCTGGCAAGGAATGAATGGTACAAGGCCAAGTGGCTCAGGGGTGGCTTCCACAGCCTTTTCCAGGTTCAAACCTGGTGGGGTGCAGGTGTCTTCTGGCTCCTGGCACCTACACATGCTCCCCGATTCTTTTTACATGGAGAGGCCATAATGCAGCACCGTCTGGTCCTGCGCCATCCTCACAGGTGTTGCTACTCATGAAGCCACTGCTGTGGCCACTGTGACCATCCATGTCATTTGAGTATCTTCCTGTCTGTGGCTGCCCCACTACCAAACTTGTCCTTCCTCCAGGGAGTTGATCCCTCTTGCTAATATGTCCTTACCTGGATGAGGCCATTGTGGTTTCTACCTGGGCGGGGCAGGAGAGGGGGGTGGTAGTGGGGGAGGGGCTCCCTTGGCTCCCTTGCCTGGCTGCTCATGGAGGGTCTCACCATGTTTGGAGCTGTGGGACTGTCAGGTGACCCCCAGAGCCCTTTGCAGAGTCCCCGAGGTCGTTCCTTGCACACGGAACCAGGACAGTTCCCCCTCAGCCCCTGACAGCTGGGCTGGCAGGCTCCAAAGGGCTGGGGCAGCTACCGGGCAACTGCCCACCTACCCTGGCTTCCAACCTTCAAGAATCTCTTCCAGCCCCAGTCTCAGCCCCAACCCAACTTGAGTTTTCCCTTAGGAGGGGGTTGGATGCCGTGGGAGTCCCTGGCTTGTTCCACTGGCTCTGGGCTACATTCCTACACTACCAGGGCTCTCAGCCCCAGAGATCCAGGCTGCCATGAGAGGAGAGTCCAGATGGGGGCTAGCTGGGAGGGGCAGGAGCAAATAAGAGCACACGAAGCCTTCCCCCCACCCCACCCCACCCAGCCCAGGTCCCAGTGCGCTTCCCCCTGCCCCCACGCCCCCGACTCCTAGGTGCTGTCTAAGGTGCCAATTCATAATGCATGGCCACTCAACTCCAGTGTATGGTTCGAACTGCTCCTGTCTGTAGCTATGCAGGAGCCCTGGAGGTGCCGAGGCTCATGGCTCGGCTGCTAACCAAAAGGTGGCTGGGACGAACCCAGCAGCTTCTCCTGGGGGGAGAATGGCCACGTGTTCCTGTTCAGACGGACAGTTTTCCCGTCGGGCCAAACTGCTCTCTCTTGGAAGGGGTTGGAATGGACCTGCTGGCCACGGGTTCGGAGAGCCCACCCTAAGTAGCTCAGAAGTCCTCAGGGGTCACTTGAATCCCTGGTACTCTGCTCTAGAGTATGGGCCCACAGGGCTCTTTCTGCCCGGCACCTGGGGCCTGGGCTGAGTGGGAATCCCCGTGGGCAGTTAACAAGAAACAAACCTATAAAACCTCCCTGCCATTTAGATGATTCTGACGCATAGCCCCTTTCTGAAGCTGTAAACCTTCACAGCAACAGAAAACGTCATCTTTCTCCTTTGCAGTGTCTGGTGCGTTTGAACTTGTGACCTTGTAATCAGTAGCTCAACACGTAACCCACTCTGCCACCATAGTTCCTTGTCAGCAGCAGCCCCCAGGCCTGAGCTGGGATCTTAGTGGGCCATATGGGCGGGACTGGCCTAGAGCATGCAGAAAGCTGGGTAGGTGAGGAATTGCCTGGGAAGACAACATAACTGAGCCCTGAGGGATTCCCTGCTCTTCCTCCAGGCTTTTATTAAAGTAGGGCGGGACCTGCAGGCTTCCAGTGGAAAAAAATCCCCCAGGCTGCTGTGGAGGTGGAGAACCCGCTGGGCGATGGGAGGGAGCCCCTGTTGGGCTGCAAATAGAAAAAGCACTCAGGCGGGCAGCCCAAGAGGCAGAAGCTCCAGGCAGACCCTGGGTTGGCAGAGCCAGGAGTGCCTGGTGGTCGGCCGTAGCCTCCTGCAGAGGAGGCTCAAGGGCTCAAGGGCTCAAGGGCGTGGCTCAGACCCTCCTTCAATCCAGCCTCTCCAGAGCAGAAAGCTGGTTCTTGGAAGTCAAGGGGCGAATGGGCACTGCTTTTGCTCTGAGGTGAAGGAGCAGGCACCCTCACTATCCCTGCTGGGCAAGAAGGAGCTGATCGGCCCCTCTGAGGCAGGGGCATTGACCAGACCCAGCTCTGCACCAGGAAGTCCCACCTGGTCACCCGAGGGCCAGATACAGAGAAGGGTCCTATGGGGACTTCAAGAGGGAGAGGGATGCGGCCTGTCCAACTTGGGCTTTGAGTAGGGGCACTGGGCCGGAGGAAGTACTTCGGGAGTAGGGTCTTTCCCTTGGATTCTGCCCTGTCCCCTGCGCTGCAGCCCTCACACAAGAGCTCAAGAAAGCAGCCAAAGCTTCCCCGAGCCTTGGCTGTACACACACTCCCACCGCCCATCTGGCCACCCAGACCAGGGACTCCTCTGGTGTGTGTGTGTGGGGTATACTGCTCTGCAGGTGTCCACTCAGCTCTAGTAGCACCCCCTCCAACACCCCCCCCACTTATAAGGACTGTCACAGCACACCGGCAGTCAGTCACCTGGAGAAATAAGGAGGAGCAGCAAGGACTAGGGGTGGTGGGAACTACTCTCTCTACTCGGGCTGGGTCAGTGCCCAGGACGCAGCTGTAGGAACGGAACGCTGGCTCAAGTTCTGTGCCCTCCATGGCTTGGAAAGGGGTGCGTCGCAAAAGGTCGAGCCTGAGAGGGACAGGTGGCCTGGTCCCCTTTCCTTCCCTACACCCCCTGCCCCGCACCATCGGACAAGGGTGCTTGTCTCCGGCCACCTCCATGGCCCAGGCTGCGGGCACGCACGCCCCACTGCACCCCAGCCTGGGCCAGGCGGAGGTCCTTACCTCGGCATTGACTTCAGTGCCCTCCGCCAGTGTGTCGCGGCCCAGGCAGCCCAGAAGCACGAGCAGAATCAGCAGTGGCTGGGCCGCCGCCTCCCGGCCACCGTGGGGGCTGTCCGTCCAGCTCGGCCGCCCGTACGCGCCCCGGTCTCTGCCCATGCTCTCGACGCCCGGCCCTGCACGCTGGGGTCCCCCGCAGGGTTCAGAAACTTGCTGCAAACCCTGCGGGCAGGCGAGCGCGCGGCGGACCTCGCGCTCCCAGCCCCCTCCGCCGCCGCCGCTTAGGCCCCTTGGGCAAATTCCCAAGTCCGGGAAGAAGCGGGCAGGGAGGTGTGGGAGCGCGGAACGGACCCGCGGAGCTGCCCGCCGCGGGGCTCTGCAGTCTTGGCGACCGGAGGCGGGGGTCCGGTTCCCGAGAGCAAGCGCAACTCCGCAGCCTTTGTCTGGCTCAGCGCTTCGGCCTCCTGGTTCCGTGGCGCCCCCCGCCCTCCTCGCCTGGTTCCTTCTGTCCGTGCCTTCTCCGCGCGCCTCCTGCCGGGGGCTCCGGTGGCCACAGCGCCGACCAGGCCGGAGTCGCCGCCCGCGCAGTCTAAAGCGGAGCGAGCGCGCCAGTCTGGGAGGGGGCGGCCGACGTCCCTCGCCAGTTCAGCTGGACTCCAAGCGCTCCCAGCCCTCCGCAAGTCGCTTTTTAAAGGGCCAGGCAGGCGAGGCCCTGCGGGGCGGGGTCCGGGGTGGTGCCCCGGGGCCGGGGCGATCCCGCAGCCGGAGGCTGCTTAGTAGCAGGTGCTACTCTGTGGCCTCTGAAGCCCTCCTTTCCGTTCCCCCAACCTTGTTTCTTGGGGTAACGTCCATCCCGACCCCCCGTGGAGAGATGGTGAGCGGCGAGGAAGGGCAGGTCTCCTTGCTGGGGAGGAGTGAAGATTCCTTCTCCTATCTGGTCCAGGGCTACTGAGGCTGCGGGGGTGGGGGAGGGAGGGCGCGTTGGGTAGACCCACGTGTCTTGTTCAGTAATAAATAGAAATGGATGGCTCTAGACTTCTTTTGAGTGTCTTTGGGCCTTCGCTGACTTTTTCGACGCAAAGCCAGGGGCTTGGTGGGGCTTGGTGGCCTCTAAGCGCAAGCCGCCAGAGTACAGGTTGCAGGAGGCACTCGTGTTCGCCACTTGCAGTGTGGACACGGGCAACTTCCTTCGGATGGGGGACGAAGGGCTGCGGCGAGGGTGAGGCACGACTTCTGGCTCAGGCCTAGCACCCAGTAGGTGCCTGAGCAGGCGGGCGCACAGGGCTTATTGTGCTAGATGTAATTCTAACGTGGGAATGATTTGAGAAGCAGGTTGCTACGGTTGCAAGAGGCCGAGCCCGGGGTCCAGAGGTGGGGCCCGGTGGAGGGATCCAGGAGGCGAGTCCCAGTGGAGGAGGTGGGCGGGGCCGGAAGAGGGAGTTTTTCTTACCTGCGGGCGGTTTTCACAGCCGGCCACGCCTCCTCCGGAAATCAGAGCGTTTTTCTCAGACCTGCTAGGCCCAGAGAAAAGAGCCGGGGGCGTGCCTGTTGCCAGGAGCACGGCGGAGATTCTGTTATTTTGAAACTTGCTTTGGGAAATATGCAGTGGTTGTCAGAAATGCCCCGTAAGGTGACCAGATTTTAACATTGTTAAAGCGGGACACCATTGACGGGGGTGGGATGTTCTTGATATAAAACTCATATCCTGGCGAAATACATGGCAGCCGAAAACCGTATACTGTATTCCCTTCCTGTTCTTCCCCCGTTCCTTAGCTTGTCGTGCATTCTTTCCATAAATCGGGAATTTTTTAAAACGCCGTGGGAAAAATTGTTAAAAATCGGGACAGTCCCGCCAAAAGCGGGACGTCTGGTCACAATTTCAAATGAGCAAGTTTCTCTACTCAGTTGACATCTTGCAAACTTTCGCAGTATGAGGGGGGCTTCAAAGAGGTCCTCCCACTAACCCCCTCTCCCCCCAAACCCCCCCACCTCAGTATATTTTATTTCCATTGTTCCCCACAAAGTTTTTGTGGTTCTCACACGGGCTGGGTGTTTATTTATTTATTTTTTGCACGGGCTGGATTTTGAGGGCACTTGGTGAGGAGAGGAACTCAGGAAAGTCAACAGCAGTCATTGTTTTCCCTCAGTAGCCAGTTCCTCTCCTGGGGCAAATCCTATACTGAGTAAGTGGCCTTCTGGGTGCCAGGGTGGGCCTGAGGCCTGTGTGCCATCCGCGTGTTTCTCAGGGTTGACCGACTCCAGGTCCGAAGGGGTACGGCCAGACTGAGAGGCATGCTCTCTGAGCTGTCCACCAACCAGCTCCCAACATGACCCATTTTCCTTCCACCCCACATTCTCGTCCCTCCCCACTTCTCCGCTTGGAGCCAGGATCTTGTCCACTTCCAGGCCACTTTGGTTGACACCTTGACTGGGGTGAGCAGTTGTGTGGAAAGATCTAGAGTAGATACCAGGTCACTAGGTCCCTGTCCTATGGAATCTTGAGCAAGGTCTTTCTCCTTGGGCTTGTTTCCTTATTTGAAAAGGAGGGTTCTGGTCCAGGTAGGAGCAGCCCTGGTGGCATTGTGTTGGACGGTTAATGGCAAGGTTGGCCGTTCAAACCCCACCAGTTCACTCTGCGAGAGAAAGGGACTGTTTTACTCCCTTGAAGACAGACAGCCTTGGAAACCCTGCCCTCTAGGGTTGATGGGAGTCCCATGGACTTGATAGCAGTGGGTAGGTTGGCTTGGGGGCCTGGGAGTAGCAGCTGGGGTCCCTGGTCCGTTCGTTCCTTCGTTTGTTCAGAGAAGGAAAGGTGCCATGGATTGGAGCCAGGCCCTCAAGGCTGCCCCCTGCAGGCACACCATCAAAGGAGAAGAGTCCTTGAGCTCTCAGTGCCAAGAGGAAGAGGAGGGATAAACACTCGGGTGGGCCGGCAGGGTAATTTCCCTCTCCCTTGGAAACAAAGCTGGGGTGGTCTGCAGAGGCATGTGGTGAGAATGGGGAGTGCCAGGTGGAAATTGGCCAAACAGGCCAAGAGATGATCATTCGCCTACCCTGCGGGGAACATCTGAGGACAGCAGGCCAGATGTGCTGACTGTGCTCTGCTCGGTGGGATCGGCCCCCAGGGAGCACATTCCTGCACTACACGCCAGCCTGCTGAGGGGTGGCCCCCACCCCAGGACTTCCCCGTCTGCTGGGCAGTGAGGAGTCTCCTCGGGCTGTCACCCAGGAGTACATCTCCTCTTATGGAAGAGCTGCCGCTGCTTCTGCTCTGTCAGCGGGCACGCCTGCCGCCCAGTGGGTCCTCAGAGGCCTGCTCAGGCCTGGGCACTGGCCAAGCCCGCCCACCCACCACCCTCCCCCTCGGTGAATTGCCTATTTCCTTCCTCTATCACCACCTTCCACTCTTCGTGGGAGAGCTGGCTATTGATCTTGGCCATTTCTCAGTTGCTGTACTACCACTCCCCACCCAGCACAGACAGGCTCTCCACGCCATTCACTCCCACACTAGCCGTCCAGTAGGTCTCCTCCTTGCCCTCCCCTCGCCTCCTCCCTTATTGCTCCCGGTGGGACTACAGCACACCCTGAAGGCAGGCTTGTGGCCCCAATGAGGAAATTCAACCTGCCTTGCTGTTGGCTGAATTTCCATCTGGAAATTGGAACTGACAGAAAAGTGTGTGTGTGTGTGTGTGTGTGTGTGTGTGTGTGTGTGCATGCTTCTGCCTGATTGGCACTGACGTTGGGCATGGACATTCTTCTTCAAGTCTGATCCTCCGACTACCTGCTCCAGGGCCTGGCTGGCTGCATGGCCCATATAAGACAGGGAGGATGCCGAACCGCTCCCCTTTGGCCTCTGCATCCAGAAGCAGCACCTGGAGTAGAATCAGATCAATGCAGTGTGGGGGCTAATCACAGTGCCTGGGGGCCGTGGCCAGGGCAAGGATGGGAAGCGATGGGAAGTGACGGCTGGGTGACACCACCCTTGTTTCCTGAGGGCATCGTGAATGCCTCTCAAGCCTACCTTAGAAGTCAAAACAGAGGCTTTTGAGCTGCCCTAAGTGAAACACAGATGGACAGGGTGGGGGTACAGCAAAGTCAGCTAGTCCTTGTCCAGGGGTAGTCCACCACGGGACATTTTATTTGTTGAACACAGTTAAAAAGTACAATTTACACACATATATATAATCCCCCCAAAGGAAAAAAAAACCCACCCCTCTTCATCGTCACCAGAAGTCCAGATGACAATTGGACAGGTGTGGTCCTCTGCCTGCCCTGTGAGGGCTTACTGTAAAAACCCACCCCGCAGTGGCAGACAGGCAGTGGGGAGGAGGCGGCCTGGGCAGCCGGCAGTCCAGGCACTGGTGACCTGGCTGTCAGCCCCCAGCCAGGAGGGATGAAGCATCTGCTCTGGTCTCCCTGCTAGGGCAGGTGCCGGGCTGGGGCTCGTGGGAGGGAGGACGGGGGACTCAGATATGGACTAACATAAGTGGCCTGTGCCTCTGTCTGCCCAGAACTGGCCTCAGGAGGGTGCAGGAGGGCGAGAAGAAAAGCACCACACTACCGGCCGCCACAGGACAGGACCAATGTGCTACCGTGAACACGGGACTAGGGACAGGACCCTGTGGCACCCTGGGTCCCAGCATGGCGTGAGCAGGGACTAGCCAGGCTCGAAGGAGGAAGCCCTGCTGGTTGGAGACCAACTGCATCAAAATGCCAACAGCTGGCAGGCCGCGAGGTTAGAGAGAGCCTGGTCCAGAGTTTGGGTGGGCTCACCAGGTGACCCATTTTTGTGTGGCATCACTACAGAACAGGCACTAGGAAGCCCAGGCTGCCCTCTACTGGAAGTTTTGGAGAATGACCATGACACAGGTGCACAAAGAGGCTGCCCTCCTGCCAGGCAGAGTGAGGGGGCCTCCTGGGGGGAGGCAAGGATGTCAGCGCTGCTTCCTCTCCCTGGCAGTGCTCACTTCAAAGGCAAGGAGAAGAACTTGTTCCCCGACTTGCAGCGGACCTGTTGGGCGTGCACCCGCAGAAGCAGCTCAGAGTCTTCAAACTCGTCCACGATTGCCTTCAACCAGGAGAGGACAGTCTGTTATGGGGACCAGGAACCAAGGGGACCGTGCAAACATTCCCTAGCGGGATTCTCCAGGGGCCCTGCCCTTGAGTAGCTTGTGCAGTAGATCCCTCTGCAATTTCTCAAGGGTTGCCTGTGG